CTCCTAACTTACTTCAAGATGCACTCTGTAACTTTTTCACTGGGGATTTGACTCCTGCTTGTCATTGCTCTGCCTGGAATGTCCCACAGTGTGACTTTAAACAGCTGTGCCTTACATTTATTAAATTACAGGTGGTTTTATAGCTCAAAATACCTAGAAAACAGGTGTTCTGACTGTGAGCGGGGTCGCCTCTCCACAGATCTGACTTAAGAAAAAAAGGTTTAAGATCACACTGTGAAACTTTCTCCATGGAGACCAGCATTTGACATACACTTGTTGTAGTAGTAGTTGTAGTTGTAGTAGTAGTAGTAGTAGTAGTAGTAGTAGTTGTAGTTATTGTAGTAGTTGTTTTTGAAGTAGCTGTAGTAGTAGTAGTAGTGTAGTAGTAGTAGTTGTTGTTGTAATTGTTGTTATTGTAGTAGTGGTAGTAGTTTTTGTTATTGTAGTAGTTGTAGTACTCATAGTTGTTGTTGTAGTAGTTGTAGTAGTAGTAGTAGTAGTTGTTGTTGTAGTTGTTGTTATTGTAGTAGTTGTTGTTGTTGTAGTGGTTGTAGTAGTAGTTGTTGTTGTAGTTGTTGTAGTAGTAGCTGTTGTAGTAGTTGTAGTTGTAGTAGTTGTAGTAGTAGTAGTTGTTGTTGTAATACTAGTTGTAGCAGCAGTAGTTGTAGTAGTAGTAGTAGTAGTAGTAGTTGTAGTAGTAGTTGTTGTTATAGTAGTTGTTGTAGTAGTTGTAGAAGTAGTAGTAGTAGTAGTTGTTGTTGTAGTAGCTGTAGTAGTAGTTGTTGTTGTTGTTGTAGTAGTAGTAGTAGTAGTAGTAGTTGTAGTAGTAGTAGTAGTTGTTGTAGTAGTTATTGTAGTAATAGTAGTAGTTGTTGTAGTAGTTGTAGTAGGAGCAGTAGTTGTAGTAGTAGTAGCAGTAATAGTATTTGTTGTAGTAGTAGTTATAGTAGTTGTAGTAGGAGGAATAGTTGTAGTAGTGGTAGTAGTAATAATAATTGTAGCAGTAGTAGTTGTAGTAGTAGTTATAGTAGTTGTAGTAGCAGTATTTGTTGCAGTAGTAGTAGTTTTGAGACACTCGTTTACTGTTTATTTGTGTTTTATGTGTTTCTCGTTATAATTTGTCACTTGATTCTGTTTGTGGGACTTTTTTTGTTTTGTTTTTATTGAGACATTTGTAGTTTTTGTGTTTTTGTAGTTCAATTTGTTATTTTCTGTACAATTATTTTGCTTTTTGTAAATTATTTTGAACCATTTATGTGAATATTTTAGCACATTTTGTTAATTTAACCTTTCACGTTCCTGTTTATTAAATTATTTCTTTATTTTTACCATTTTACATGTTGTTTTTGTTGCCTCCCTGACATTAGCTGAGTCGTAACATTAGGTGACTCTTTCTCATTTATAATAAATTACTGTTGTATTTTTCAGGAGGCGGAGCTGCAGTCTAAGCCGTGGTTTGCTGATTCTTGTGATCGAAGGACGGCTGACGACGTCCTGGTCCAGTCCAATCAGGTACGATTATAATATCTGTGTTTATACGTCAGTCACATCATGAGGATTTGTCTTAATTTAAAGCTGCAGAACAAAATAAACTGTTCACAATGTCTCCAGTTCACTAAGAGGAATAAAGCAGGTCTGAGCCAGGACTAAACAAGGTCTAAAGTTCCTCTTATAGAGCTGAACTGAACCTGTACTAAACCAGGTCTAATCCAGAACTAACCCAGGACTAACCCAGGTCTAACCCAGGACTAAACCAGGAATAAACCAGGACTAAACCAGGACTAAAGTTCCTCTTATAGATACTGAGCACCGTACAAGAGCTGCACTGAACCTGTACTAAACCAGGTCTAATCCAGAACTAAACCAGGTCTAATCCAGAACTAAACCAGGTCTAATCCAGAACTCAACCAGGTCTAATCCAGGTTTAATCCAGAACTCAACCAGAACTAAACTAGGTCGAACAACAGACTATGATCACTGCCCACAAGGAATACCTCACAAAAGATGCACAAAACTAGGTCTAACCCAGAACTAACCCAGAACTAAACCAGGACTGAACCAGGTCTAACCCAGAACTAACCCAGAACTAAACCAGGACTGAACCAGGTCTAACCCAGAACTAACCCAGGAATAAACCAGGACTAACCCAGGACTAAACCAGGAATAAACCAGGACTAAACCAGGTCTAACCCAGGTCTAACCCAGAACTAAACCAGAACTAAACCAGGACTGAACCAGGTCTAACCCAGAACTAACCCAGGAATAAACCAGAACTAACCCAGGACTAACCCAGGACTAAACCAGGAATAAACCAGGACTAAACCAGGTCTAACCCAGGTCTAACCCAGAACTAAACCAGGACTAACCCAGGACTAAACCAGGAATAAACCAGGACTAAACCAGGACTAAACCAGGTCTAAACCAGGTCGAAACGAGGTTTAATCCAGGTCTAACCTTGGACTAAACAAGGTCTAACCCAGGAGTAACCCAGGTCTAACTCAGATCTAAACCAGGTCTAATCCAGGTTTAAACCAGGTCTAACCCAGGACTAAACTAGGACTAAACCAGGTCTAAACCAGGTGTAACACATGGTCTAACCTAGGTTTAACCCAAGTTCAATACAGGACTCACCCAGGTCTAAACCAGGTCTAAAACAGGTCTAACCCAGGTTTAACCAAAGACTACAGGTCTAACCCAAGACTAAACCAGGTCTAACCCAAGACTAAACCAGATCCAACCCAGGACTAAACTGCACCAACCATCACAAATCACTCTCACTCTCAGTTCATACGATCAAAGTATCTGAAGTGTTTTGCCCAAGGAAACAAAAACAGAATGAACAGGCAATGCAAAACACTAAACCACTTCCACCTGCATTTTATATTTGTCATTCATGTCACTTATTTGGTCATAATCCAAACTGCGCATTTTGTCAAAATTAAGCAAAGTTTTATGGCTCAACCTGTTTTTGAGAAATCTTCATGTGAAATTTAGAGTAACTCCAGTTTCTTCAGCGATTCGAAGGAAAAGTGCAGTAACTTCAGCGACCGATGTTGTAAACAGATACTGCACTTTTCTGGAGAATTTCACTCAATTCACAGACACTGCTGCAAATTTTAAGGTCTAATTCCGAAATGAGACAAAACACAGACTTGAAACTTTCACATTTTCTTATTCAACACATAAACTAGAATATTTATTTTTTTGTGACAGTAAAAGACCACCTCATTTTCTGTACTTTAACTGAACAATAGGTTGCATAATTTGCCCCACTGTCAGAAATTCAACTTGTACCCATTCTAAAATCTGACTATACCAATTAAAAGAAAATCTTTGGAGTATTTGCTCAATTTAATAAAATCTACCGGGTCCATCAAGCCTCTAAAGCTCTGGCTGAAAAATAAGTTTTTCTCAAATAACTTTAAAAATAATCCATTTAGGGCCGCGGTGTCAATGAAAATTAAATATAAATGTTGGTATTGCGCATCTTTTGGTACCAATTTTATATCTCTATCTTCATAACTTTCTAAAATATGACAATTTTGTGGAGATTTTGAGTGTTTTTTTCATAATTATTTGGTATCCACAAAGGCCAAAGATGAAATGAGAGACATAAAGTTTGTTCTCTTTCTTTAATGATCATAGATTAAATGATTGGGATTCGGATCAATCAATAATGCCCATCGCCTTCGCCTTTCACTCTTTTTCAGTTCTGTTGGGAAGAGAAACAGTTTGAACGGAGGTTTGAGTCACACACATCTGATTCCCTTTTGCATTTATGGAGTTGGAAAACAAATTTCTCGAGCCGTTTTCCGCTGTTTGGATCCAACAACCACATAATTAACGATGTCCGAATCCCAAAACTAAAATATGACAATATCAGAACCAGAAACGAAAGTGATATGGTTCAAAAGACTTGAAAAGATCCAGTTTGTCAATAGACGCATCCCACTGGGAAAACAAACATGGTGGTTTGATGAATCTTTCCCAGCATGCATTGCGCAATGACCGGAAATCCGAAATTCTTGATGCGTGTATTGATACGATATATCGATAGTTCAAGTATTTTTGCACACTCTTATTTCTTATTGACGCTTTGACAAGTAGGTTACAGTGAACACGTCTGATAACAGTTCTTCGTTATCATAAAATAATACCTGTATTAAAGATTTAACTTTTCACAGTTTCACTTTGTGCTCTAAATAATAATTTGAAATGTTAGGTGTTACGTCCCCAGACACTCGTTTACTGTTTATTTGTGATTTATGTGTCGCTCGTTATAATTTGTCACTCGATTTTGTTTGTGGACCTACGTGACTCATAGTTTTTGTGTTTTTGTAGTTTAATTTGTTATTTTCTGTACAATTAGTTTGCTTTGGGTAAATTATTTTGAACCATTTATGTGAATATTTTAGCACGTTTTGTTAATTTAACCTTTTACATTCTTTTTTCCAAGTATTTTTTTATTAATTTTCAGACAATAAAAATTCCATCTGAACAACTGACCACGTTAACACAGGTCAACATATAACAAAAAAATAAAAAAATAAATAAATAAATATATATAAAATAATTAAATAAATAATAATAATAATAATAATAATAATAATAAATAAAATACAATAAAGATAATGATAATAATAATAACAAATAACAAATTCCACACTCTCACACACTCATACACATTCACACATTCACTATGCAATACTTGCACAACACAATCCATCAATCGCAGGTGAGTCTTTGATTTATATTTGGTGACCATATGTACTTAAAACGAATAAAATAAAATATAAATAAATATATGTATATATATACATACACACAACAATAATAAAAATAAATAAATAGATAAATAAAAATAAATAGAAATATATTAATTAAAAATTAGTAGAGAAACATGAATAAATAAATGGATATAGATAATATATATAAAAAGTAATAATACTAAAATAAAAATAAATAAATAATAATAATTAATAAACAATAAAATGAGATAGGTAAATAATAATACTAAAATAAAATTGTAATAACTACAATAACAACAACAACATTTATGACAATAACCTTTTACATTCTGGTTTATTAAATTATTTCTTTAGTTTTACCATTTTACATGTTGGGTTTTGTTGCTTCCCTGACCTTTAGCCGAGTTGGGTCGTAACATTAGTTGACCGTATCTCATTTATAAGAGGAGGCAGATCTGCATTTTAAGCCGTGATTTGCTGAATTTGTTCATTTCAAGTTACATAATGTGTTGTAGATCCGACATTTGTTACAATTCAGGACCTATGGCTGATTCAAGGTCCTTGAAGCACCAAAGAAATGACACTTTTGCCATATCTCAGAAACTAATGATAGTAGAGACATAAAACTGGCACCAAATGATACGCAATGTCCATATTTATCTTATTAAAGAAAATCTGCTCAGATTTAAGGCTTCTGCACTAAACTGCAGAGTCTTGGTGGATCCAGTAGAATTTCTCAAGGACGTTTACTTTGGGAAGTGTAAAAAATTTATTCTAGGTACAGATTGATTTTCAAAAATGTTTCAAAAAGTTGGGCAAATGATGCACCCTACTGTCAGTGTTGGGGAGTAACAGATTACATGTACCAGAGTTAAGTAATCAGAGTACAAATGATGAGTAACTGTATTGTGTAAATGGATTACACGTGTTCCTGTTTTCACATTTTGGGCTATTCCCTTTTTTGTTGTTGTTGTTGTTTGTTTGTTTTTGTTTGTTTGGTAATTCCACTCATTGCCGGACACTAAACCAGGTCTAAACCAGTTCTAAACCTGGTCTAAGCCAGGACTAAAACCAGATCTAAACTAGGTCTAAACCAGGACAAACCAGGTCTAAAACCAGATCTAAACCAGGACTAAAACCAGGTCTAAACCAGGTCAAACCAGGTCTAAACCCAGGTCCAAATCCATTCTAAACCTGGTTTAAACCAGGTCTAAAACCAGGACTAAACCAGGGCTAAACCAGGTCTAAACCAGGACTAAAACCAGGACTAAACCAAGACTAAACCAGGTCTAATCCAGGACTAAAACCAGGTCTAAACCGGGACTAAACCAGGACTAAAACCAAGACTAAACCAAGACTAAACCAGGACTAAACCAAGACTAAACCAAGACTAAACCAGGTCTAAACCAGGTCTAAACCAGGACTAAACCAAGACTAAACCAGGTCTAAACCAGGACTAAAAACCAGGTCTAAACCGGGACTAAACCAGGACTAAAACCAGGTCTAAACAGGGACTAAACCAGGACGAAACCAGGACTAAACCAAGACTAAACCAGGTTTAAACCAGGTCTAAACCAGGACTAAAGCAGGTCTAAACCAGGTCTAAAACAGGAAACAGGACTAAACCAGGACTAAACCAGGTCTAAACCAGGATTAAACCAGGACTAAACCAGGACTAAAGCAGGTCTAAACCAGGTCTAAAACAGGATTTAACAGGACTAAACCATGCTGCGCGGACCGTGTCTCCTCCTCTATCAATAATCAATAATATTTTTAATTTGGTTCAGTAAAGTCTGGGCTTTTTATTTTCTTTTATCAGACAAAACTTCTTATGTTACGGTATCTTCGTCTTTGCTTCTCTACAGCAAATCAAATAATCCAAAGTATTCAGATTACATTACTCACTTTAAGTAATTTTATGGATTACGTTACAAACTACATTTTGTGGTATGTAATCTGTAATCTGTAGGGGAATACATTTTAAAAGTCACCTTCCCAACACTGTTTACTGTACACAGATAAATATGAACTCTGTGTAACTGAAATACACAAGAGAGTTTTTTTTTTTCTTTCTAGGTCAGTTTTGTGTGTGAAAATTGCCTTGTTTCTTGATTTAGGACGGAGCGTTTTTGGTGAGAAAGAGTTCGGGTCATGACGCCCAGCAGCCCTACACTTTAGTGGTGCTTTATAACGGAAGAGTCTACAACATCCCCATCCGATTCTTACCCAGCAGTCAGCAGTTCGCCCTGGGCCGGGAGAAGAAGGGAGAGGAGGTCAGTGCGGAGGTCACTCTGCTGCAGGACAAATAAGAATCTAGTCTAGAACCCTAAAAACACAGATTATACTTTGAGATTTTGGCAAATTTAGCATTTTCCAAACAATAAAAACAATTAAAAGTACATGTTAGATTAATACACTATAAAAGTAAAATAGCCCCTCGTTAAAGTATCATCTAATGTCTGAGAAAATGTTTAAAATGTTAATAAAAGCGTAATTGTTGTTGTAGTTAACTTCAAATATAATATTGAATAAATTTTAGTGACAGACTTCTTCTAGTTGTGTTCATGCAGATGTTGTTGCTTTGTCAGGAATGTTCCACATTAAAGCATTAAAGGTATTTGTCTTGTATTGATCCAGTTACAGGTGTTTTTATGCATTTTAATCTGACCTGTACTAAACCAGGACTGAACCAGGACTAAACCAGGACTAAACCAGGACTAAACCAGGACTAAACCAGGACTAAACCAGGACTAAACCAGGACTAAACCAGGACTAAACCAGGACTAAACCAGGACTAAACCAGGACTAAACCAGGACTAAACCAGGACTAAACCAGGACTAAACCAGGACTAAACCAGGACTAAACCAGGACTAAACCAGGACTAAACCAGGACTAAACCAGGACTAAACAAAGACTAAACCATGACTAAACCAGGACTAAACCAGGTCTAAACCAGGTCTAAACCAGGACTAAACCAGGTCTAAACCAGGACTAAACCAGGACTAAACCAGGTCTAAACCAGGACTACACCAAGACTAAACCATGACTAAACCAGGACTAAAACCAGGTCTAAACCAGGTCTAAACCAGGACTAAACCAGACTAAACCAGGTCTAAACCAGGAGTACACCAAGACTAAATCAGGACTATAACAAGACTAAATCATGACTAAACCAGGACTAAACCAGGTCTAAACCAGGACTAAACCAGGTCTAAACCAGGTCTAAACCAGGTCTAAACCAGGTCTAAACCAGGTCTAAACCAGGTCTAAACCAGGACTAAACCAGGACTAAACCATGAGTACAGTCACTATGTCAGTCTCCTCCTCCGCTGATGGTTTTATGTAATAAATACACTAAAGTCTCTCTCAGTCAGGTCCATCAGTCCTGGAAAAACTACTTCCCGGTGCAGGAAAAAAATAAAAAAAATCATACTGTGCAACATTCTCAGCAAAGCAAAACATCTCCCTGGAAACAGATAGTTGGCAAACTACTAAAAAAAGTGCCAATTTAAGAGTTTTTACATAACATAATTATTGCTATACCTTGATTAGTTGTATTGTACTGTATTTATAATTCATCTTAACATTAAACTGAAGTAAAGCATTAAAAACTAAGCAACGTGAATTAGAAAATGTTTGCTTATATTATACTTACATGGCTCTTCTGTGTTTCAGTATTTCAGCAGCCTGACCCACATCATCGAGCACCATCAGAGGACTCCACTGGTTCTGATCGACAGTCAGAGCAACAACAAAGACGCCACTCGACTCTGCGTCCCCGTCAAACCGTAGACACAGGACGCGGGGGCAAATATGTCTGTGTAATAACAAATATGTGTAATAACGCTGGTTTTGCAAGAGTTAAAGGTTGTATGGAGGATTTTTTTTTAGTTTCAAACTGTCAGTGAAAGATTAAAATACCATTACAGCTTTGTAATTATGATGACCAAAAAAAAAAGAACGAAAATCTATCAACTGTGGACGTGTTGAGGCCAGATAAACATCAGCCAATAGAAAACGAGGCTCCCTCATTTTCTATTGGCTGTTAGGTTCGTCAATCAAACTCTCTAGTATAACTGACTCGTCGGAGCGCGGGGATTACGTGGTTTACGCAGCGGTTCTTAGAGGCATTTTTGAACTGTCGCTTCCTCGCATTTCGCACAAAGTTTGTCGCGACGGCGGACGAGAATCCACGACCGGTTCGCCGCAAAAGAAAGTCGGTTTTTGAGGTCGCTGAAAGAAGAAGAGAAGAGGAAAAGGAGCAAAGACAAACTGAGGTGATTCTTGGAGATCTCGTCCAGCGATGGCGCGACCGATGCAGACGAAGGGTCTAAAAACTGACGCGTCGGTCGCTGAATTACTTCTAGACAGGAAACTTCAACAGTAATTCTGAATGTGCACAAGGACTGTCGCTGTATTTCTCTTCCCTTAAAAAAATCCTCTATACAACCTTTAACGTGATAGTCTTTTCTTTGTTTTGGATGGTTCTCAACTGGTTTTCTTTAATAACTGATATTAACTGTGTTTCTGAAGTTACGTAATAGTATAAACTCTATTCATGTTACGTCACAAACCAGGGAGACGTTTGGAAAAATGCCATGACGACTTCCGGTCTAGTTCCCGACACTGGACTGCGATAAAACCCGTTGAAATAAATGTGATTCACTGGGCCATTTTCTCATTTTTCTAAGATTTTGTCAGACTTACCACAAAGTTTACAAAGTTTTATAAGTCATCCACGCATGTTTGAGTAATCTAGCGATCTCTCCCGCGTCCTATTTGAACCCTTCTCACGGTTAGCTCTAAGATTTGACCACAAGCCGACGTCACCCACGCTCCCGCACGACAATTCTCAAAAAATATACAAAAACATGATACAAAACTGCGCACGAACGACTTCACAAACCTGATTCGATGTGCAGTAGTTTCATTAGTACAGTAGTCAAAACAATAAAAACAATTAAATGGTATTTGTTAGCAGTAAAGTACCCCTCAAGTATCGTCCAGTCGCTCCGGAGTCGTGTGTCAGTGGGGAAATGGTCGTAATTGTTGATTGGCCGAACATGGAACGCTACAATGACATGGAGATGAAGAAAACTGGGACATTTTCTCATTTTTCCTACATTTTGTCAGACTTACTACAGCGAACAGAGCCCGCCGGAAGTCGTCATCACATTTACAAACGTCTTCCTGGTTTGTGACGTAAGAGCCTGAATAGAGCCAAAGTTGCATAAAGGATGAATGTTATAATGTATTTGACAAAATGTTATAATGTATTTGTGTAAATCTTATGATATAAAGCAAACAGACAGTAGGAATGGTTACAAATGCGTATTTAAAGTTGCTTTGTGTAAATTTTCTGGTGAAGGGTCGTCAAAACTATTGAAAATCAGATACTAAACCTTGTATATCAAAGGTAGATACTCATTTGAACAGGTATTGATACTAAAAGTCACATTCGTAGAACAAAACTGACTCTTACATGAACAGTTTTAGATGATCTTGAGCTGTGTCAGAACAAGTATAAGAGCAAATAGACTAATACACCCATGGACCAACATGGAACCTACTGAGGGATACACAGATATAAAACCACATGGGAATAGTAAAGAAGTACTGGGATTTAACGCTGAAATCCACATTGTCTAAATCTGACCTGAGCATTGTCCAGTTCCCAGGCCACATACAGAACTTTCGCTGACTCTGACCGGCCCGTTTAAGTTCATTTGAATTACAAAATAAACATATTTTAATTCATTAATTATTACATTTATACAGTTCATTATTCATTCATTCATTACTCCACACTTGGTGGTGGTAAAATAATACTGTAGCCATTGCTGCCCTGGGGCAGACTGACGGAAGTGAGGCTGCCAATCTGCACCATCGGCCCCTCCGACCACCACCATCACTCACACACACACACACACACACCACTTTCATTCTAGGCAATGTGGGTGAAGTGTCTTGCCTAAGGACACAACGACAGTTTTTGCCACTGGCGCCCCCCTGTGGCTCCTGGAATTCCCAGTGTCTCCCGTCCAAGTACCGTGTTTTCTGGGCTATTAGACTTAGGGCTAAAACGACCGCGCCCCACAATCCAGAGCGCCCCACAATCCAGAGCGCCCCACAATCCAGAGCGCCCCACAATCCAGAGCCCCACAATCCAGAGCGCCCCACAATCCAGAGCGCCCCACAATCCAGAGCGCCCCACAATCCAGAGCGCCCCACAATCCAGAGCGCCAGCGCCCAATCCAGAGCGCCCCACAGTCCAGAGCGCCCCCAATCCAGAGCGCACAATCCGCCCCAAATCCAGAGCGCCCCACAATCCAGAGCGCCCCACAATCCAGAGCGCCCCACAATCCAGAGCGCCCCACAATCCAGAGCCCCACAATCCAGAGCGCCCCCACAATCCAGAGCGCCCCATACACGAATCCACTGGGGTGTCCCAGTACGACTTCAGTAAACTACAAAGCCGCACCACCCGACAGAACACACAAACACACACGGAGCAGACAGCGACCGCACAGCGACAAACACCCACAGACACACTCATCACTCCACGCCGACGAGGAACGGACCATTCGATGACAGTGCGATTTATAATCCAGAGCATCTAATAGGCCGTAAAATACGGTACTAACCCAGACCCGGCCTTGCTTAACTCAATTCTGCATAATATTAATTGAATTTCTTTTTAAAAATCCGTAAATTTCATTGTTTTGAGGAGCTGGTCAGACTGTTAAGAGTTTATGTAATGACTAAGCAATGATTTTATAATGAATCATTTTATAATTGTACCTCATGCATGGACTAAAACTGCATTGCTTTTATTTTACACGTGTTTTTATGATATTTTTTGTAAAGCAATCTCACTTTTTGTTGCTTAGTCATAACAAACTCTTCTTACCAAAACAACTGTTGACGGCTTTTTATAAAGAAATACGATTAATATTATGCAGAATTGAGTTGAGCATTTTGGTTTCTCATGTGTCCCCATGGAAAAAATAATTGAACATCCCTGGTCTAAAGTGTTTTTTATTATCATTGTGGTATTAAGTAAGTATTGTGCAAACAGTGTTGGGGAGTAACAGATTACATGTACCGGAGTTATGTAATCAGAGTACAAATTGATGAGTAACTGTATTCAGTTACAGTTACTGTTTCAGTGAGTGGTAATTGGATTACAGTTACTTTGTTGAAATAAATGGATTACATGGAGGTATTTTCCTGTTTTCACATTTTGGGCTATTCCGTTTTTTTTGTTTTGTTTTGTTTGGTAATTCCACTCATTGCCGGACACTAAACCCAGGTCCAAACCAGGTCTAAACCAGGACTAAACCAGGACTAAACCAGGACTAAACCAGGAATAAACCGGGACTAAACCAGGACTAAACCAGGAATAAACCGGGACTAAACCAGGACTAAACCAGGAACTAAAAGGTCTAAACCAGGTCTAAACAGGTCTAAAACCAGGATCTAAAAAGGTCTAAACTAGGTCTAAACCAGGTCTAAAACCAGGTCTAAACTAGGTCTAAAACCAGGTCTAAACTAGGTTTAAACCAGGACTAAACCAGGTCTAAAACAGGATTTAACAGGACTAAATCATGCAGCGTGGACGTGTCTCCTCGTCTTCTATCAATAATATTTTTAATTTGGTTCAGTAAAGTCTGGGTTTTTCATTGTCTTTCAGCAGATAAAACTTCTTATGTTACGATATTCTCGTCTTTGCTTCTCTACAGCAATTCAAGTAATCCAAAGTATTCAGATTACATTACTCACTTTAAGTAATTTAATGGATTATGTTACAAACTACATTTTGGGGTGTGTAATCTGTAATTTGTAAGGGAATACGTTTTAAAAATAACCTTCCCAACACTGTGCAAAGCCATTTTCAGACAAGCAAACGATGGACCCTTCCCCAGAAAAGTTCCACAGTGCAGCTTTAACTCAACACAAATCCACACACCTCGAATGTTATTTTACCCATGTTTTTATTGAGATGTTTCAGGTGAACAGTTGAAATAATGTAAGGAATGACACGGTATCAAAACTACACAGAAACATGATGTACAGTTTGTTTAAAATAAAATAATTTTCTAGATCAAATGTGTCCAATTTCAGTCAAAACCCAAAATGTAATGCGTTTGTTGCATATCACACACCTATAGGCACTTAGTGGGAATTCTCAGGTAATACTTAATACAGTACCTCTATTGCTACTTCTATACAATTATAAACCATTTCATCTCAAAATATAAGCAGGAAATTACAGAAAAATACAATCTATTTACAAAATTACAAGCTATGTTTCCCTTGTGTTGAATACTGAGGGGAGAGTGACCAGAGTTAGAGCCATAGAAAAGATATTTGATTGTCAAGGCTTGGAAAAAAAAAAAAAAAAAAAAAAAAAAAAAGAGAGAGAGAAGTTAGTTACAAATATGCATCCAGGTTTCATAGTGCAATTAAAAGATAAGATTTTCAGTTCAAGTCAAAAGAGAGGAGACGCTTTGAGGGGAAATAGTCAAATTAACGTGAAATTGTGACGTTTTCATTGAAAGATTTCAGAGGTTTTGCTTAAAGAATGGCTTCACCCAAAGATTCAAGCGAAAGTGAGGGATTTTTTTTTTTTTTTTAAGCGGGGGTTGTACGAGACGCAGCACCAGGCATAAAGTAGACGTCATTACGAAGCGTTTAAAGGAGACATATTGTGCTTGTGTCCGCTATAAAGTTTTAATACGACACCTGTGGATCATTGTTAAGTTTTGGGCATTACAAATCGCGAAATTAATCTATAAAACGACTTCATAAAAGAAACAAGTGCGCTGATTTCCAGGTCCGATCCAGTGAGCGATTATAAGACGCACATTTGTGGTATGTTAAGAGTAAATATTATCACAACAAAGTCCTGCGTGGTGTCTAACTCTTCTAGGGACAGCTGGAGATCACATTGGTGAGTAGATTCTGTTCATTAAAGCCAAAAAAGTCTAGCCTGATTCATCAGCCGGTTTCACTTCCTGGCAGTTAGGATTCGTTTGTTCGATGGCACTGGCTGGTACTTTTTTATTTAACCAATCGCTGCTATTTGGTCGTGACGTATGCAGTGTTGGGAAGGTGACTTTTAAAATGTAATCCCCTACAGATTACAGATTACATGCACCAAAATGTAGTTTGTAACGTAATCCATTAAATTACTTAAAGTGAGTAACGTAATCTGAATACTTTGGATTACTTGATATTGTCATATTTTTTAAAACTACATGAATGAATCAACCACATCCTGAAAATTCATGTTTGTTCTCTTCAAATTGTCTGTTCAGTCCAAGTCTCCTTGAATAAGCAAGCTGTTTGCTGTAGAGAAGCAAAGACCAGGAAATCTTAACATAAATTTTGTTTGCTAAAAGAAAATAAAAAGCCCAGTCTTTCCTTAAGCATATAAAAAATATTATTGATATAGAAATTATTTCTATATGAGGTCACTGCTGCCTGAAATTATGTTCACTCTACTGTTTAGGTGTCTGGTTTATATTGTTTAGTCCTAGTTTTAGTCCTGGTTTTAGTCCCTTTAGTTTTAGACCTGGTTTAGTTTTAGTTTAGTCCTGCTTTAGTCCTGGTTTTAGACCTGGTTTTAGTCCTTTAGTCCTGGTTTAGTTTTAGTTTAGTCCTTTTAGCTGGTTTAGTCCTGCTTTTAGACCTGGTTTAGTCCTGGTTTTAGTCCTGGTTTAGTCCTGGTTTTAGTCCTGGTTTAGCCCAAAATGTGAAAACAGGAAAATACCTCCCTGTAATCCATTTATTTCAACAAAGTAACTGTAATCCAATTACCACTAACTGAAACAGTAACTGTAACTGAATACAGTTACTCATAATTTGTACTCTGATTACGTAATCCTGGTACATGTAATCTGTTACTCCCCAACACTGGACGTATGTAATGCCCCAAATCCCGTAGGAAGGAGGACAACCCCGTCTTTCCTCTTGATAAAATTCAACATTCTCTTTGTTCCGGCTTTAACTCCTCAAATGTCCGTCTTCGTCTACATCCGTCTCGACGCTTTGTTTACTGTTGTGTTGTACCACAAAATGGACCCAGACAGACGCGACGAGTTTGACGTCATGGCTTCACAGCTCTTCGCTGACTGGCCGGAGTCTACAACTTCTGGGGTTCTTGCAAACCATCTAGTGTTTTCCGATTCCTGACTTAGTTGCTGGAGAAACATGAAATCAAATGGGGCAAAAAGTGAGCAACGTGACACTGCCAAATCCTATATACACCAACGATTGAGATAATAAAATTTAGCGAAATGAGACGAGAGCAATGGGCGTGTACTGGCGTCGGTGAAAACGGGGACAGATGGACGCAACGACGCCTTGAATACTCGAGTAAATACTAGGGATGTAACGATATCCAAATCTCTGGGTACGATACTTTCACGATATGCAGCTCACGGCAGAGGTGGGACCAAGTCGTCGTTTTGCAAGTCTCAAGTAAGTCTCAAGTCTTTGACATCAAAGTCCCAGTCAAGTCCCAAGTCAAATACACTCAAGTCCAAGTTGAGTCTCGAGCCACTGGCCCATAAGTCCAAGTCAAGTCCAAGTCGTCTGCTTTGAGCCTCAAGTCATTTCAAGTCTTTAAACCAAAGTACCAAAATATAGCTTAGATTTTTGCAACTTATATGACTTAAAGTGAAATGTCCTTCTTTCTACAAGTATTTATGTAAGACTGTTTATATAAGAAATGCTAATTTTTCCTTTTTAAATGTCTTGACAAGATCTTAGTGTGAATCATTACATCAGAATAGAAAAAAATCAGATTTAAAAGTGTTTACAGTTACTTTGTCATGAGGGATCATGTTCTCTCTGTAGTTCCGTTTGTTTTACTGTATTGTACTGTGTATTACTGTAGTACATTTGAGTATCACAGTACTTCAGTTACAACAGAAGTGGGACATGTTCATTTCTTTCTGTAAAATTCAGCACCACATTTATCAACTGTAAAGAGAACAGTATTTTCTAAAAACATGTCTTTTAGGAGAAGCATCAAGTCTTCTCAAGTCACAGGCCTCAAGTCCGAGTTAAATCCCGAGACACTGACCTTCAAGTCCGAGTCGAGTCCCAAGTCTTCGTCCATTTTATCAAGTAAAGTCTCAAGTCCTAAAAATTGTAACTCAAGTCTGATCGAGTCCAAGTCACGACTCACAAGTCCCCACCTCTGGCTCACAGTTCGATATTTATTGTGATATTTTGAGACAAACAGAATTTTGAATAATTCTGCATTTTCCTTTTAAAATGCCTCGATATGACTTTGGTTCTGTCATAATCCAAAGAATTTAAAAAGTGCTTATAAACAGTTATTTCTTCATGTACTAGTAATCGGCACTGAAACGGAGCAAAGGATCATGGTCTTTGTAGTTCCCTCTGTTTTTTTAGCTATTGCTGCACTATAACGAATAATTTAAGATATTATTGTGAGTAGGGATGGGCATGATTAGTCGATTAATCGATAATTGATCATTAAGAATTTCATCGATTACGTCAATTTTAATCGACAAACCAAATGTAGGTTTCTGTGCGTAGCCTGACCAAACAGGTGTGTACATGTGTCTCTGCATCAGAAGGAACGAGACACAAACAGTGGGTCAGTCTGCAGCGTACTGAAGCACAAAAATGTGTATTTAACGATGATTTGTACAAGAAATTCCAACTTTCCGTTGCGTTCGGGACAAGTGTGAGTCCATGTGCACAGTGTATAAAGCAGCACATATGTTTCTGTGTCCAGTGGGAAAAAGTTTTACCAGGTGAGAGTCGCTCAATGTCGATGACGAGTCCCCAGCCCCCCTCCCCCCGTACGCTGTCCTGGTTTGACAAACACAAATCTGGTCACACTAAAATGTATTCCACTGAGTCATGTCTTTTAATCCAACAGAAATTGAACCACATCAGCGACACAAGAGCTGTAGTTTTATCTTCGTTTATTTTATGCAAATTAGCGATGCGGTTTTAAGTTTTGTTTCTGTGAAGAGTTGCGCAAAAACTGAATTAAACACATTATAATGTCAAACGGGCTGATGTGGCTCTAGAGTCGTTACGGTTTATATGTCGTAAAGTTGAATTTATTTATGCAGATTAGTAGTGCAGATAGTAATAATAATGATGATCATTTTAATATAAAAACATTCATGATTAATCGATAATCGACCGTTAATTCTTCCGACGATCGATTAAGAAAATTTTATCGAATGCCCATCCCTAATTGTGAGACCTCTGACAATCCGATATCACGATATTACGGTTATTGTTACATCCCTAGTAAATACTAACAAATACAACTTTGAGCGGATGAAGAAACGTGAAAAACGATCAGAAAATGGATAAAACATGCCGATTTTGCACAATATGTCCACTTCCAGCTTCCACGCCTACGTCCAAAAAAAATCCCGCAGTACAAGAAGAAACACGACGGTATAAATAACGGAATAACGAAAGCGGGATATATTTTAACATGATCTGCGATAATGAGGAAAACAACGGCTAAACTCATAAATAAAAACAGCTTATTGTCTATCTTACACAGTTTTGGTTAAGTAACTTCTGGGCACCCGCACAAGTATAAATACGTTACGACAGCTCACTGCGTAGTCTACCCGTACTGCCTCCTCCGATTCATATGGCAAAAATTCTGTACATTTAACAGTGTCTTATAAAATACCATTACAACAGTGTACGCCCAATTAAATAAAGCTATAGAATATGTAGTCAAAAATACAAACGACTAAATTCATTCCACCAGTTGCGTGTGGCTTTACAAATAATTATATTAAATGATCAAACTATCCCAGATTGTTGACATAGGGAGCTTAGGGTCCTGAGAATGGAAACAGTCCAGGTAAGTTTGATTTAAGACTTTTCAAAAATAACAACAAACAAAACAAAACAAAAAAAAAAAAGTCTCTCCATTGAGTTGTATTGCAAAAGTCCGCTTCCAGATATTTCCCAGTGTTGTGACATTGAAGGTAGCGATGTAACTTTTCTCTTCGAAGATCTTCACGGAGATGTAATTGCGGAAGTTTGCCCGGAATGTTCCGCAATATGACGTAAATTTATCTAAGCGCGCAGGTTTTTCCAGAGTTGTTTTTGAGCTTCGTAATTCAATAAATGAAAGATACGGTGTTTTTCGGACTATAAGGCGCTACGTTAAGCTACGTTCAGACTGCAGCCGGAAGTGACCCAAATCTGATTTTTTTCACCCGTATGCGACCTGTATCTGATCTTTTAATGACAGTCTGAATGACACGGATCAGTTTTTCTTCAAATGTGACCCAGGACACTTGGATATGTGCTCCTAAAACCGATACATATCCGATCTTTTCACAGCGACTTTAGTCTGAACAGTCAGGTCGCATTCATCCCACCTAAACGTCAGGCTCGGAGTCTCGTCAATGGAGGGAAAGTGAGGTTAGCGAGTTAATTATTATTTGGGGGGAATCGCTGTATTCAAGCCAAACTGGAGGAGTCTTATCGGAACCAGGCGGTTTTTGAAACGACTGCCAAAGAAATGTCAGAGTGCGGCTACAGACGATCCTGGCTCCAATGTCAACGAAATAAAAAGAGCCTACGAGCCAAATACAAGGAGGCTAAAGACTCAAACAAACAAAGCAGTTGTGGATGTGTAACCTGTCCATTTTACAAAGAACTGGATCGTGTTTTGGGAGACAAACCCAGCGTTTAGGCGACTTCCGTAAACACTGATCACGCTCTCTGTGTGTGACGTCGTCGTGTCCTCCAATGCTCATGCAGGACACTTTTGGGGCGTTTAAAGTTCACACTGAAGATCACACAAAAGTCACATTCAATTGGAAATGTGAACAGCCTTGCCAAAAAAATCTGATTTCACACAAAAATTTTAATCGAGCATTAAGCCCTGCAGTCTGAACGTAGCCTTAAAACCCTTTAATTTTCTCAAAAATTGACAGTGCGCCTTAATAATTCTAGTTGTGCTTACTGACCTCAAACTGATTTTATGTCGTACAAAGCGCGCAAAATCTGAATGTTTTAGTTGGACTTTGGTAAGCAACGAAGCCGCACTGTTTGATGGATTGCTGGAGGATTACGGCCTCGCGAAGTAATACACATTCGCCAACACAGAGAGGCAACACCGGGCGAGTTACACCACGATCTGCCGATGGATCGTGGACGCCTGAGCTAAGGGATCAGTGTCAAGTGTCGTCCGAGCTTTTACCAAGACCAGAGTCATCACTGAACAGCTAAAAAACAGCAACTAGACTGACCTGAGATGATAATCACAAGAGAGATTCGGACACCCTTAACGCCGGAATCGCCAAACTGTTAAACTCGGACACTGAAGGTGAAAAATGTGACGTCTCGTTTCGCTTCATGCGCCTTATAATCCTGTGTGCTTTATGTATGAAAACAGACGAGAGAATTCAACATTACTGATACTGCGTTTTAAAATCCGGTGCGCCTTATAGTCCGAAAAATACGGTATATAAGTTTAACGCTATACTTTGGAACATTCCGGGCAAAGCAAGGAAATCACCGGTGGCGTAATTGCCCAAAAGAAAAGTTACAGTGTACCTTTAAGTCTAGAGGTGGGCAATGCAGGAAAAAAAAAAAGTAAATCCAGATTAATAGCTATTTTATAACAATTCTTTCACATACTTTAAGTTTTATATTGCCCTGAAAGATCTGTGTTGAAAAGAAAACGACAGCTTTTATATCGTCACATCGCCCACCTCTATAAGACACATGTGGGTGTGTAATGCGTTCCAGTTTGGAAAAGCAGACGGGAGCAAAGACCTGAACTGAAATACAGAATTTTAAATAGATTTCAATTGTGGTTATGGGCTCTATTTGCTTGGAAACATGCCGATGACGACTTCTTTTGGGCTATGTTGGCGATCGTAACACAATCTGAAGACAAAAACTGAGAAAATGGACCGGTTTTCTTCATCTACGTCACTGTATTCTTTTATTCCCTTTTATAAATTGCCTATTAATGTGTGTATTATAATTTGTTTAACTTAATAAAGATGTATTTGTAGCGTTCGTTGAGTTCGGTCTGTGATATTGACGCGATTAGAGTCAAGTCCCCCGTGGAAAACTTTGTCAGGTTGTGAAGACGCCGCTGCTGAATCCACGGTTTTATTTGTTTTTCACGTGCCCAGTGTCGTTAACTACACCGGAAGTCGTCATCCGGATGTTTCCAAACGTCTTCCGGTAACCGTGAATAGAGCCTATTGTGCGTTGTAAATGTGGATTTCAACCCAGCTGTTTTTTTTTATAGCCACGTTTTTACAATTTGTTTATTTTGGAAGGTGCATTGTGTAACTTTTCTGGTGGAGTGCTTTCCTCCATGGAGCCGTTATTGCTTTGTCTGGAATGTTTCACACTATGGCATTAAACCTTTCTATCATGGAAACAAAACTAGGCCAAGTTACAGGTCAGATCTGCGGAAAGACAGCCCCGTCTCAGAGTCAGACTGCATGTTTTTCTAGGTATTTTTGAGCTCTAAAACCACCTGTAATTGAATATATTTAAAGTAGAGGCTGTTTAAAGTCATACTGCGGAACATTCCAGACAGAACAGAGCAATGACATCGCCGTAGAAACAAGCAGGCGACGGACCCGTGACCAAAAAGTTACACAGTGCATCAGTAAAAGGTAAAGAAAACTTAAAATGAAGGTAAAAGAAATTGTAAACTTCAAGAAAATTATGAGGAAATATTTGAGTAATTTTTTGATTCTTTTAAGTAAAAAAACAATTAAAATCTATCACATAAATAAGTCCACAAAAAAAGAAATTAAGGAAGAATTGCAACCGTCTACTTCACCAAAATTAACAATCGTTTACGCTTGAAAATACATTACACACCACATGTTTTAGACTTAATTTGACCGAACACAGTACTGTCCCTTTAAGAGTTTTCACATTTTGGACTCTTCCACTCCATCAGGTGGCGCTGTCTGTGAACGACCCACGCTTCTCGACTTCCGAACGCTCTGCCGCAAAACCAACAGCGAAACGGTTTCTCTCCTTCCAGAGACTCTTCGTCATCCACCACTTCAAACTTCTTCTTGCTCAGCCTTCGTAGTTTTAATTTCAGCAAAAACCTCTCGCGAACGTGGTTTTTCTGCGCGGTACTGTCCCTCTGCGAGTTGACGACGTCGCCGTTCATCTCCGAAAGCGCGTTTATTGTCCTTTTCGACAGCACGACTTTGTGGACTTCTCCTTTGTATCTGTTCACGACTTCCATGATTTTGTGGATTTCCGGAATATCGACGTCTGGATGATTTAGCACCACGACGGGCTGCTCTCCCGCCGGGCGCTTCACGAGCTGGTTGGGGTTGATGGCGATGAGATGCAGGGTCCGCTCCGTGTTTTTGGGGATGGGGGTCCAGGAGGGCACGGGAGACGGAGAGGGGGAAGGGTCCGGGCAGGAGGTGAGGGGCGACTCGGACAGGGTGGGGTCTGTGGGTGGAGGGGACAGAGCTGGTCGAGATGTTTCACCTGTAAAAAAATGAATCGAGTTATGAATAAATACATGAAACAGAAAAGCAAATACCGTATTTTTTGGGCTATAAGACGCACTTTTTTTTCACGGTTTGGGTGTTTCGTGTGACTTATGCTCCAATGCGGATACGGGACACTTTCGGGCGTTTGAAGTTCACATTGGAGATCACATAAAAGTCACATTTAATTGGAAATGTGAACGACCGCGCAAAAAAATCAGATTTCACAAAAAAATTCGAATTGAGCATTAAGCCCTACAGTCTGAACTAGGGATGGGCATTCAATGAAATTTTCGTAATCGATCGTCAGAAGAATTAACGATCGATTATCAATTAATCATTAACGTTTTTATATTAAAATGATCATCATTATTATTACCATCTGCACTACTAATCTGCATAAATAAATTCAACTTTACGATGTATAAATCGTAACGACTCTAGAGCCACATCAGCCCGTTTGATATTATAATGTGTTTAATTCTTTTTTGTTCAAATCTCACAGAAACAAAACTTAAAACTGCATCGCTAATTTGCATAAAATAAGCGAAGATAAAACTCCAGCTCTTGTGTCGCTGATGTGGTTCAACTTCTGTTGGATTAAAAGACATGACTCAGGTGAATACAGGTTAGTGTGACCAGATTTGCGTTTGTCAAAACCAGGACAGCGTACGGGGGGAGGGAGGTGGGGACTCGTCATCGACATTGCGCGACTCTCACCTGGTAAAACTTTTTCCCACTGGACACAGAAACATATGTGCTGCTTTATACACTGTGCACATGGACTCACACTTGTCCCGAACGCAACGGAAAGTGTGGAATTTCTTGTACAAATCATCGTTAAATACGCATTTGTGCTTCGGTTCGTTACAGACTGACCCACTGTTTGTGTCTCGCTCCTTCTGATGCAGAGACACATGTACACACCTGTTTGGTCACGATACACACAGCAACATACATTCGGTTTGTCGATTAAAATGAACGTAATCGATAAAATTCTTAATGATCAATTATCGATTAATCGACTAATCATGCCCATCCCTCGTCTGAACACAGCCTTAAAATCCTTTAATTTTCTCAAAAATCTACAGTGCGCCTGATGTATTAATTCTGGTTGTGCACACTGACCTCGAAACTGATTTTATGTGGTACACGACGCGCAAAAATCTGTCAACATGTTTTAACTGGACTTTGGAGTCTGAGCTACTCGCATGCAGTTGTTCTTACGTGACACCGAGGATGAAGAATTGAATGGATTTAGTGATTTGGAGTGAGATGTAGAGTTTATTAAACTTGTTCTGTTGTTTCTGTTTATCTGAAGAACTGATCATATGTGACGTTAACAGTCTGTTCTCTGTTCTGTTGTTTTTACTAGAACTTGCTTTTCAAGATGAAATGTCAGTTCCTGGTCTCTGATTTTATAAAAAAAAATTCCCCCAAAAAGTGCCACTTATAGCCTGATGTGAATTATATATGCTTTTTTTCCTTCATTACGCATTTTTTTGGCTGGTGCGACTTATACTTTGAAGAGACTTGTAGTCCGAAAAACATGGTACATCATGTGTTTTAGAGTCCAGACCTTGGAGGAAGAAATGTGATTATTCAAAAGAACACAACAGCACAAAAGATCTCCCATCTTGCCCAGCCCTGTGTTGAAATGAAATACAATACGTGTAAAGCTGCAGTCCTTTAGTGGTTTGGTCAATTAATTGGGCAATGTTGGCCTTTTTACTGTTGAGTAATTCTTTGATATGTATCACAATGGAATGTATGTAGAACAACAAAAAGACGCCATGGAGCGACTGGACTGTTCAGTCTGTTTTTTCAGTTACGAAGAAGTTACTTCTCTTTAAACAAAGATTTTTCTGAAAACTTTTGCTGGTGCTTTTCAAAAAAAAACTCATTTCGTCAATTAATCAATGTACAGGACATGTCTGCAAGGATCCCACTCACTCAAAAAAATTTCAAAACTTTTCCATGACTTTTTCCATGTCCCCAATGTGAATTTTCCATGACTTTACGGCACCTACATGTGTAGAATTGATCAGACTTTTAGGGCTAAATATGAAATTTTAATGCTTTCCACTCACCTTATGGTTTGGGATTATACTTTTTTTTAACCTTCAAAATACTGTCAGTGCATTTATTGTCGTCTCTTTTAACAAAAGGCGAAGACATTTGGAAATAATCAGAATAGCCAAATGAGAATTTAACAGAATGCTGCAGTTTCGTGAAAGAGATACTAAAATTTCATGACTTTTCCAAAACTTTCATTGAATTTAACAATTTCCTCAGTTGACTAGAGTTCTACAAATGTGGCCTTTACATTTGGGCATCATGAACTCAATAGTCAAATGCTTTTTACAGTCTTAAGCAAAACCATTATAAAGCTTTTAAAACCTAAAATCAGTGTTTCACAAACTTGACACCAAGAACCTGGTACCAAGGTGTAAAAACAGGACTAAAGCAGGTCTAATGCAGGAGTGTCAAACTCAAATTCACAAAGGGCCAAAACTAAAAACTGGGACTAAGTCGTGGGCCAAACTAAATATTTATCGAAAAATTTCAACAACATGTGCATGTTTTCTCTTCTTTTGAGATATGTAATGTTAAACCTTTTCTTATTAAAATAAATGTTTAATAATAGTTTTGCTTAAACACTGAATCCAGAACAAACATAATATAAAATAATAACAAAGTTTTATATAAATAATGTCTCTATAGTCTATCTGTAGCCGGTGGGCAGCTCTAATACATGTTTGATATGATCTCACGGGACAAATTTGGCCCCTGGACCTGAGTTTGACAGGTCGTGCTGAGCAGCTATGCAGCTTGTGTCTTCTTTAAAACTATTTTCAAGGCCGGCACTGTTTTAACTTTGTCCACATTTTTAGACTTCTTCGCATTCTCCAACGCATATTTTTCTGTTTCCCTTTTGGTAGAGCTTTACGGACTACTTTTCGTTCCCTCCGCTTTCAGTTCTGTCTGGTCTAGAGTAGGGGTGTGCAAAAATACTGAAATATCGATATATCGTATCGTTTAATATGATGATACAGTATCGATATCGTGGGCTGCTGTATCAATATATCGCAAAGAGTATTTTTTTCTATATATAACTAAATAATTTTGTTACAATGCCACAGTTTTGTTGCTTGTTTAGAGAAAGGAAACTCATATATGCCACACATTTGACATTTTCACTGTTTTGATAATTAAAATGTTTGTGTTTCATATGAACTTTGCATAAGAAGTGGTTTAACAAAGACTTTTAGTGTCACAGCCATGATTTAGACTTTATTTTTTATTAAACCATATTGATTCGATTTGAAGTATATGGTATCGAATCAAAAGCTCACTGTATCGAGATATGTATCGTATCGTGGACTATGTATCGAGATATGTATCGTATCGGCAACTTCTTAATGATACCCAGCCCTAGTCTAGAGTATAACTTAAAGACGACCAGAACATAAATGTGGCAAATCGGAAAAAGGGAAAAAAAAAAACTAATATTCCATAGCCATACCCAACAATCAAAAGGGTAGAAAGTTAAATATTTTCTATAGTAATTTGGATTTAAATTTTTGAGACTGTAGACAACGTCACACAATGTTGTTATTAAAAAATCCAAATTGAGAATCTAATTTCAGATCGGCAGAAACCCCATCATTCGAACCGTGTTGGTTTAAAGTGCAAATCTGTGTCTGATTTTGGGCTGGGTCACATAAACGCTACACAATTAAATTCACTTCTTCTATTACACCACATGAAAACTATAATTAACTCTTACTTTGAGGAGTAATGACAGACTCCAGCAGAGGAGACGCCTTCGTGAAACCATCGTGACGACTTTTCTCGTGGCTCTTTTCCTTCGTCCCGTTCACCAATCTCACCGCTTCTCCCGCCGATTCTCCGCCATTTTGGGTCTTGTCTTTTTGTTTCTCCACCGTATTCACGATCCCGCAGTGTCCGGTCTCGTGCTTGTCTTTTATCGTCCCCTCTCGTTTGCATACGCTTTTTTTAATACAAGTTGTGAAGTCATTTACGGTGGAATTACAGTTCGCTCGTGGTAATGCAGCTTGCGTCACCCATTGCTTTCCTTTTTTGGGATTCTTCTTTAAAATTATTTTCAAGGCCAGCGCCGTTTTGAGTTTGTCCACATTTTTAGACTTTTTCGCATTTCTCCAACGCATATTTTTCCGTTTCTTTTTTGGTAGCGCTTTACGGACCGCTTTTCTCTCCTCGGCTTTCAGTTCATTCAGAATAGCGCCATCCTGGATCGCCTCTTCGCCGTCGCGTTCGCTCAAGTCCGTTTTTAGTCTCTGATTCTCTCGGTTTTCTTCCGTTTGAGCGGTTTCTGTCGACTCGGCGACTGCCACGTCACCGCTTAGCTTAGCTTCTTGATTTTGTAAACAATCACTCAAGCTGACGTCGCTGACAATTTTCCCGCACAGGTCCGCGTTGGCATTCCCGGCTTCCTTTTCCGTCATCAGTTTTAATCTTTTGGCAAAACTAGCGCCGTTTTGATTCATTTTGTTTTTCACCGTCAGAACGTCTTGGCTGCTGTCCGGAAACACCGACGCGATCTCCTTTTCCAATTTCGACTGAAGGTTCACCTCTTGCGGGACGTTCGAAAGCACGTTTTTCAACGCTTTGCTCCATTTTTGCTTTCCAGATTTCAATAAAAACTGCTGCGTCTCTTCCAGCGTTGTTTGCGCGTCCGACAAGTGACAGTACTTATCCAAAAACTCGCGTCCTGGAAGCGAGAGGCAGTCTTGCGTCAACCAGCTTATGTCTTTAACCGCACTTCTGGTCATCCTGGGCTTCCTTTTTGTCTCGTTCATCGGAAAAACATCTTTATTTTTCTGGCTACAATTCACGCCGTCGTGTACAGTCTTCATGTGCTTGGTGAGGATGACTTTTTGCGACGCTTCGTAGCCACAAAATTGACAATGATACGACGTTTTGCTTATCGTCTGGTCATTTTTCCTGTCCAGACCGAGATTATGAAGCAGCACGTGTTCTAAAAACTCCTTATCGTTCAACGTCGAGAACTTCTTACAAACGTCGCAGCAGTATTTCCCGTTTTGCGTGTGCACTAAAGTCAAGTGTGCGCTGAACTCCGGCCACGTGCGTTGTACATTGTCGTTACACAAACTGCAGCAGGAAAACGTGTCTTTGTGGCTCAAAACGTGAACTTGTAAATAGGAAAATTCGTGCGTGGTGAATTTACACAGATGACACGAAAACACGGGAGGGCAGCCTTTGTGCTTTTCCTCGAAATGCACCGACAGTTCTTTGGGGCCGCGTTCGATATTGTCCGTGCATTGCGAGCATTTAAACCTGAGCGTATTTCCACTGCTAATCATCCTCTGCGGCGTTTCCTGGCTGCGTAGTTTCTTTGAAGAAGGCCATACTGCGCCGGCGTGCTTCTCTGCGGCTACTATCTTCTTTGGTCCGGGCTTATCAGGGGTTTGCATAGCGGGGGCTTGGAGCGCGGCCTTCCTGAGGTGGAGACGTTTCAGCCAATCTCTGTTCTTGTTGTGGCCGCGGCGTTTGGCGTTATCTGCCGTGGAGGTGGCAGCACAAACGTCGACTGTATCCATGGGTCGGTGAGGGAATCTACGACAATACAGCAAAAAGATAAGATTTAGAGATGCAAGAGATACAAGTCAGAAATTATGAAAATGTCAAACTTTTTTTTTTTAATATAAGAAAATTAAACCTCCATGTCCCCTCTGTGATCTTATTTTATTGCTTCCATTTTTATTTTGAAGGACCTTTAGCTGTAGTAATAGTTGTAGTAGTAGTAGTAGAAGTAGTAGTAATAGTTGTTGTAGTGGTAGCAGTAGCAGTAGTAGCAGTAGTAGCAGTAGTATCAGTAGTAGTAGTAGTAGTATAGTAGTAGTAGTAGTAGTATCAGTAGTAGTAGTAGTAGTATCAGTAGTAGTAGTAGTAGTAGTAGTAGTATCAGTAGTAGTAGTAGTAGTATCAGTAGTAGTAGTAGTAGTATCAGTGGTAGTAGTAGTAGTATCAGTGGTAGTAGTAGTAGTATCAGTGGTAGTAGTAGTAGTAATAGTAGTATCAGTAGTAGTAGTAGTAGTACTAGTAGTATCAGTAGTAGTAGTAGTAGTACTAGTAGTAGTATCAGTATCAGTAGTAGTATCAGTGGTAGTAGTAGCAGTAGTAGCAGTAGCAGTAGCAGTAGTATCAGTAGTAGTAGTA